CCATTAATATTTCTATTGTAACACAATCCAATAAATTATCTACCACTATTGACAAACTATCTATTATTTCATAACTAATATTTTTATCAACAAACAGTGCCACTCCACCACCTATCCTAACTTCTCTATTTATATAAACCATTTCATAACCGTCAAGGTCAAAGTCAATGCCCCTTACATCCTTGATCCAAGTTTCAGTTATTGCTACTACATTAAATCTTTGTGTCAAATTCATTAGGTAGTGTTTTATACTACTAAAATTAGCATATAAACTTCTACTGTTAAAATGAATCATTGATATCTTGTTATTAGTGTTAATTTTGTTATTAAACTGATCCTCAGAATAATACTGGCAATTACTTCTAATGTTTGTAAAAAAAAAAAATTTCAGGATCAATGCCATTTTCCAGGTCTAAAGAGTGGTACTCAGTGTGTCCATAGTTACTCAACTCCAGCTCATCAAGGTCACCAATTCTCTGAGCCAAATCACTTGCAGTTTGATATGTACTGTTCAATTCTGACGTCATGCAAAACTGACCAACCAACGATTAAACCGAGCAATTTTAATCGAAGCCTTCATTTTCCATGGAAATAACAATTTTAATTGAAGCCTTCATTTTCCATGGAAATAACATGTTATGACTTTTTTATGACGTATTAGGGGCAAAGATAAAACCATCGTCACCTGTTTATTGGCCTTGAGCACCAGCCTCAGTGTGGCTATCTGCTCTCTCTTGGTACTGAGCAGGGATTTGAGCTTGAGTATCTCCTCCATACATGACTCCTTGTCCTTGTCAAGCATAGGAGCCAGCTCTCTGGCTGCAGCTCTCTGCCTGGACAGCTGCAGTGAGCGGTCAACAGCCTTTTGGAGATGTTTGATCTGGTCTCTGATGATGGCGTTCAGGTTGTAGATATTCATGGGCTCCTTCCGCAGGTCCCCGCCTGCCTCTGAGGGCACCAGAGATGGGCAAGGAGAGATACTGATAACTGGGGAGCCTGTGGAGTAGTGGGTGGGGCTGCTATGGCAGGACGGAGAGTCCACCGTGTTTGCTGCTGTGTCATTTTGATGGGCATCTTTGATTGGGGAGTCCATGGGACTGCGTGGGGACTCAGAGGAACAAGCTGCAGCAAGGCGACGCGCTAAGCGAGGTGAAAGTAGAGCCCGGGGGTCTTCTGAACCTTTCAGGCTACCACTGCGTGTGATGCGGCTCTGTCGGTAATAGTCCAGCATGACGCGATTAGGTGTCTCATTGTTGCACAGGCAGACGTGGTGGTACAGCTGTGCCAGTTCCTCACTGAAGGTTACCAGCTCATCCTGTGCTACATTCAGCAGGCCCTGGCTCTCCGTGGCTGTGCTTGTGGCTGCCCGAAGCTCGGCCTCCAGGCTCACCACCCTCTCCCTGCTCTCACGACAACTGCACTCCAGGTGAGTTACCTGCTTGGATGAAAGCAGTCGGGAATGTTAAAGGGTGCAAAACCGAAACAAGAGTCAGTTACAAATGACACAGCAATAAAAACACAGGTCTTCACTATATGTAACAATGACAAACCTGTTCACTCAGTGCCTGGACCTTGTCGTCACTGTGGCTGTCTCCCTGCCCCTCCACAGCCTGGTTATACTTCTCCTTCAGGGCCTTGAGCTCTGCTTTCAGGTCAATCACCTCCGTCACTGCCACCTTGTACTTACACTCCAGGATCTCAATCCCATGGACATCAGTATCATGGTGACCATTAGCTGGTGGTGTTACAGAACCATCATCAGGCTTCTCACTCTCCTGCAGGTCATTAAGCTCTTTGTCTCCGTTGAGACCCTTCAGGGCATTGACATGCTCAGTGAGGCGATGGACACGCTCATTTTGCTCAGTCAGGACGCCCTGTGTGTGCTGCAGTTGGGTCTGTGACTCCTGCAGGTTCATGAGTAGCACTGCCTTTTCATGCTCCACCTGCACAACAGGAGGATACACAACCACATGAGACCTGAGACAGTGAAGGTAAAAAATGCAACACTGCACAAATATCTTCTATCGGCAACATATAATTACATCATTTATATGTTATATCATACAGTCATAGTCCTCAGTGAGCGGCATTCATGTGTTAATATAAATGAACCTACAAACGTACAGCATTCCCCAATAATAAAATAAAGACAAAAACAGCAGGCTACTGATAAAAGCTATAATAATTAGAATGCAGCCACAATTATTAAGCAGCAAATAAACAAATCCATGTAAACAATAAACAAAATTAAACAAATAAACTAATAATATGCCAATTTCATGACATTTCTGATGGTACAAAGGTGTGTAATAACATGTGGTGCAGCTTTTTTGTCTCAAGTGTTGTTGCTTCTTGATCATCATCATCATCCCATCAAAGCTCTCTGTGCTCTCCCAGTACTAACAACTTTATTGGTCCAACTCTGAATTGGTCCCATGAAAAAAGCTAATGAATTAGTATTTACATATTTCCCAGAATGATCAGCTTGAAAGAAAAAACTGATTAGGGAGTAATTAAATGTAAAAAAACAAAACAAGGTGCAGTGCTAATACAGCAGCACTAATCTAATTTTCTTTTTCTCAGTGGGGCTCAGGGAGAATGTACAGTAAAAATGTAATTAGATTTTAGCATTCATTTGATCTATCTATTATTTCTTGGCCATTTAACAAACTGTTCTGTATGTACATCGTAATTAGAATTTAGCATTCATTTGATCCATCTATTATTTCTTGGTCATTTAACAAACTGTTCTGTATGTACATGTATTTCTTGTGTGTATTACACTTTAAACATTAAGTGCCTAAGTGAGTGTAACAAAGTCTATTCGACTGCGTTATATGAGCTCTATATTTATATGGACAGCTTATCACAGTAAAAGGTTAGAACTAATTGTGCTATAAATGTAAGGGTACAGGGGACAAAGACTTGTATGAAACCTTCCTTCCTTGTTAGAGACTCTCTTTTGGTCTCCTTGTCTCTAAAGCAGAAGTAGTCAGTTTGTGTTTCATTAATCACCCTGACAGGGTCTCCCACGGCACACATGAATGCACCACTACTATTGGACTCCGTGCTATGCTGTAGCTTAGCTGTACTTTTTGTTTCTCACACCTTGGAACTTTAAAACTGTCTTAGAGAGTCAGCAGCAGCTTAGAAGTGACTGAAATCTAACCAGAGTAACTCAACAAACAGCAGTGTGACATTACAGTCACACAACTATCCTGGAGAATGAACCAGAGGCTCTGAACAAATAATACATGGTCTTTTCCTGAATGCAAGTTGTCCACTTGTAATTTTATTCAAGTTATGTGTAATTTGAGTTCCTGTTTCCTCTGACCTACCTGCAGCAGCTGCTGCTTGAGCTTCTGCATCTCTGACAGGTTGAGCTCACTGAACAGGTCTGGCACGGGGTGCAGGCCTTCTCCTTTCCAGCCTGGGCGGTAGTCCCCATTCATCTTAGCTAACCCTGTGCCAGTGTGGAGGTGACTGGTGCGCCGGTTGCTGTCCTCATTGTTGCCATTAGCAGCGGGGATGCTGCTGCCGTTGGTGCCGTTTGTGCCATTCGTTTCCTCAGCGAACTTGAGGCCCTCAACGCCAGTGACAGTGAGAGCCAGGTGGGCCCCTGCTCCATAGACACTGTCGCTCAGGCTGATATGATGGGCCAGTTCCTTTCTTAGATTGTTCTTCTGCTCACGCTCACCCTTGAGGGCATCCAGGGCCTCCTCTAACTGACCCTCTGAGATTTCCTTTAAGCGTAATGCATCTTCAAGCTGGCTGTTGAGAAGAACGGTCTCCTCTTCCAGGACCTTAATCTCATGTTTTAGTCCTTCATACTCCACCTGGGGAGAGCACAGGTGGAACCAGGAAAAGAAAGACAGAGAAATGATTCAATTTAATTAGATTTCAAACATAAGAATCCTGTTTGGTAATTAATGGGTGGCCAAGTTCCAGGTTAAAATATAGGAAACAAAAGGAACGGGTGAATAAAAAAGGACTAAAACCACACTACTGCAATATTTCATTTAAAATTGGGCTGGATGTTGTGGTCAAACATCTCTATGATTTGGATTTGATTACATGGCAAGTAAAGGCATTCACATTTACTTTACAAAACAGACAGCGTATGACTCTATAACTGGACCCCTTACGGTAACTAAATGGTGATGAGCAGCTAGATGAGAGAACTGTTTGATGGGAAGTGAAACTGGGAAAAGAAGTGTGAGTCATTCATCTCAGCCAATACAGGGGTCGGTATCTGTACAGGGTAGAATTTGCTGCTGTTTTGTTATAGCTGAGAATATGTGTGATATATGACTAAGATGCTGATGGTCTTCATATTGACCTGACTCTGCTTGAGCGTCGAGACCAGTTTCTGCAGTGTAATGTTCTCCTCCTCCAGCTCCGTGTAATCCTGAAGCAGCCTGGTCTCTCTGAACTTGTACTCCTTGATCTCCTCCCTCATCCTGCTCCTCTGTAGCTCCAGCATTTCATTGCTCTGGAGCAGACAAAAGAGGGGCAGTCAAAAACAAGAGCAGCAGTGACAGATGGGTACAATGAAGAGAAAGGATTATTTAGTCAAAAACACAAAAACATTTGATTATGTTGAACACAATGAGTCAGCCAGAAAGACTGCACATCCTTCATCATTTAGCCACCTGTGCACTGACAGAGACACAGGCAGGTAAAATGTCAATGGGAGACATCAGTGTGCAGGGGAAGAATAACAACTCATCACGAATACACTGATTAGACTTATCAGGTAATTAGCTTCATAATCGAGACTGATCTGGTTCATTATGCTCCATAACGTAGAATATCTTGACTAATGGACCTCCTGTGTTTTACATTCACATTGATAGTTCACATTTCAGACAAGCCAGTCCACAGAGCAACATTTCAACCTGACAACAGCCCCTAATGGATATCGTGAATGAGAGTGTGTCCCATGGGTGTAGTGCTGGAGCCCACACTTGCTCTGTCCCTACACATGTGCCGAGCTCAGGGTATTTCACTTATTCCCCAGCTTAGCACCAGATTTGCCCTCAACAATGACGCCGTGGCCACGGTGTCTGACCCTGGCTCGAACTCTTGCACTGCCTGACACAGTGACTACAGACACGTATGCCCGCATTAACACATGCTCGCACATACTGTGGGGTTTGACCTCTTTCTGCCTGTGACTGTGACCCCGTGCCCTTGATAAAACACACTCATCAACTGCAAGTTAATGTAATGCATACTACTGTATTATTATTTATACCGCTCCGTGAGTGTCGGTTTTGTTAATTGTGCCAAGTGTGTCATTTTATTGTGTTAACAACTGAAAGAAAAACTGTGATGAAAAAAACAAAAACAAAAGTGTTCTGCAAAAAGTATTACGTTAAACTGCAGCATGAGCGCAAAGCAGAAAATGTGTTTGGAGTTTTGGAGAGTTGAGCTGATTTTTGCTCCGTGAGTGTCGGTTTTGTTAATTGTGCCAAGTGTGTCATTTTATTGTGTTAACAACTGAAAGAAAAACTGTGATGAAAAAAAACAACAAAAAGCATGCAAACAAAAAAGCATGAAAATATGAGAAAATTTTATATTACTACTAAAATCAGTGCACTTCCAACTGCATGAGCTCTAGCTACTGCACTGCTGTTTTGTCACATATACTGAGTTCCTGTGTTTTCCTTTATGTATCTGAAGAATTAAATCACGTGTCTGCAGCCTGTATGTGATGACAAACTCACCTCTTGTAGCTCCTGCACAAGTGCGCTGAGCCTCTCACCCTCCGCCTGGGCGTTGGACGCTACAGAACGGCTTAGAGTCATCTCCGTCTGCAGCTCCAACAGACGGCCCGTATAGTAGGCCTCCTTACAGGCCGACTCCTGCAGCAGCGTCTCCTCATTGGTCTCCCCATCCTCTGCCACCTTACGTTGGTTGGTATAGGCCTGGCTGAATGCCTGGGGAGGAAGAAAAACGGGATGTTCAGAAAACTGGGACAGCAGAATGAAAGAAATACAAAAATAGTGGAAAAAGAATTAAACATCCAACAACCAAGTTTTGCAAAGTCAAAATTAAAGTGACACTGATCCAAATCCTGTCACATGATACCAACATCCTAATCCATGTGAGGGATTTGCAGCCGCTGACAAAATCAAGCACATCTTTCACAGTTACAGCCACCAAGTGTACCCCTGCCATACTTTTGACCGCTGACAGCACCTACAGCGCATTTAAAGGTCGTCCCTTAAGGGTACCTGCTTTCTGTCTATATGGGATGATGTTTCACTGTGATCAATAGACACACTGTTCCCATTTTCCTGACACAGGTTTTCACGGCACTGATAGCTGGCCTGTCATCATAAAGGAATGGAGGCCTGATTGAGAAAATTAAAGAAGGCACCAAC